GAGAAGACCGCCTGCTGACGAGGAGATGGAATGACACTGGGGGGGCCTCGGGGACACCTGGCATTGGGGAGCCCCGGGGGATGCCTGGTGTTGGGGGAGGGTCCCGGGGGACGCCTGGCGTTGGGGGGCCCCTGGGGGACACCTGACATTGGGGGACCTCGGGGGATGCCTGGTGTTCAGGAACCTCAGGGGATGCCTGGTGTTGGGAGGGCCCCAGGGGACGCTTGGTGTTGGGAGGGCCCCGGGGGATGCCTGGCGTTGAGGGTGCCCTGGGGGATGCCTGGTGTTGGAGGAAAGACCTCTGGGGACGCCTGGCACTGGGGGAGCCTCAGGGATGCCTGGCGTTGGGGGACCTCGGGGGACCTCAGTGCTTCAGGGAAGCACTTCTTAGGTGAGAAACAGAATCATCACAAAGTAGCGGAAACAGTGGGCAGAAGGGTTGAGTGTAAAGTATCAGCAGATGAAGACACACAACACTGAACAAGACGAGCCAGGACTTTGCCAGCAAGGGACTAATCTCCAGACGGGACCCTGGCCTCCCGCGCAGCAGCAGTGAAGGACAACCAGCGGACGAGACGGAGGTGAAGGAGGGACAGAGGGTCACAGGGTCACGGAGGCACAAACGTGGCCAGCAGCCCACACAGCAAAGACGAGCCCCTTGTCAGGGGTCAGGGTCAGGGTCAGGCTGGGGGCGGCAGGAACCCCCCCTCGGCCAGCACACCACTGGCATCATGCTGGCTGAGAGGTGGGGAGGCAGGCGTTTCCTGGGCTCTGGCCGCCCTCGCGCCCGCACGCCGTGCCAGGGACCCGCCCTGGGACATCTGACGGACGTGGCCCGGACGCGCACGGGGCTGTTGGCTGTGGCGTCGGCAGGGCGGTGGGGACATGTGACATGGTTCGATGCTGCCGGGAGCACGGTGAGAATGGCGGCACCTACGAGCACCCGTGTGCGGAACCACCAAGGACCCGGTGTTCAGCGAACACAGAGAACGCGGGACACGTAAAGCACGATCCCACGTCTGCCACTTTTCAGAGCACAAGAAGCAAAACTCACAGGAAGACGCGACGCGCTTGAAGAGCCGCGCCCGGGTATGACCAGGAGTCGGGGTCAGGGGGGCCTCGGGCCGGGTACCGAGGGTGAGCCTGGGTGGGGGCTGCGGCGTCGCCCCGGGGGAGCGGTCCTGGCGGGGGGTGGGGTCGGTGGACTGGAGGGCAGGGAAGAGGGACGTGGGGACCATGGTCCGGCTCCTACTTAGACACCCGGTGTGGGTGGGGTCCCGCCCTGAATGGGAGGGAGGGAGGGAGGACTCTGGGGAAGGGACAGAGTAACCCTGGATGGGCTGGTCCCGGGAGGCCCTTGAGAGGTGCTGGGAGAGGTGCGGCCAGCGGAGAAGGTGTGCGTCTCGGGCCCGGAGCGGCCGAGCGGCCTGGGGCACAGCCAAGTCTGGAGACCTCGGGCACCAGCCAGGGAAGGAAGTGGAACCCAGGGGCCTCTGGGGACGGGGGTTGGGGCCGTTGGCTGGGAGCCTTCCGCAGACAGGAAACGGAGGTGCCCCGGAGGTCACGCGATGCCCCCAGCGCGCCCTCCCCGTGCGGCTCCTCGGCGCTGTCGGGCATGGCCGTCCCATCCTGGACGCTCAGCCTTGGTGTCCTTCCGAGTCTGGGTTGAAGGCAGAATTGCGCCTTCCCGTCACCTGCCCTTGGCGCCCAAACGGCTGCCTTCTGTCTCTGTGACCTTGACCTAAGAATGTCATGTAGGTGGAATCACACGGTTTGTGTGTCTGTGTGACCTCACCCAGCACCGTCCTCAGCGTCCATGCAGGCTGCAGCAGGTGTCAGAGTGGCCTTCCTTTGCAAGGCCGAATAGCACTCCATGGTGTGGACGGACCACACTCTCCTATCCCTTCATCTGCCAACGGACACTTGGGTCCCTTCCTCGTTTTAGCTCTTGTGAATAGCGCTGCTGTGAACATGGGGGTGCAAATATTTCTTCGAGACTTTGCTTTCAGTTCTTTTGGGCAGATACCCAGTAATGGGATTCCTGGATCACACAGTGATTCTATTTTTAATTTTTTAGGAGAGTCTTTGCTGTTCTGCCCAGCAGCTGTAGCATTTACATTCCCACCAATAGGACACAGCGTTCCAATTTCTCCACATCTTTGTCAGCACTTGTTTTCTGTTTTTTGTTTTGTTTTTTGATAGTAGCCATCCCAGTGAGTGTGAGGAAGTATCTCATAGCTTTGATCTGCATTTCCCCAGTGATTAGTGACGTTGAGCATCTTTTGTGAGCTTATTGGCCATCTGTATGTCTTCTCTGGAGAGATGTCTATGCAATTCCTTTGCCAATTTTTTAATTAATGAATTAACTAAAATTTTTTATCTGAGAGAGAGAAAGAATCTCAAGCAGGCTTCACACTCAGTGCAGAGCCCAATGTGGGGCTCCATCCCATGACCCTGGGATCATGACCGGAGCCGAAATCAAGAGTTGGGCCGTCAACTGACTGAGTCACCCAGCCTCCCTCTTTTGCCCATTTTTGAGTTGAGTCGTTTGTTTCTTTGTGGTTGAGTTGTAGGAATTCTCTGTGTATTCTCGATCCTAATCCCTCATCAGATACGTGACTTACAAATACTTTCTCCCATTCTGTGGGCTGCCTTTCTGTTCTGTGGATACTGTCTCTTGTGCAGAAACCTTAAATTTTCATGAAGCCCCATTCGGCCATTTCTTGTTGTTGCCTGTGCCTTTGGCGTTGAATCCAGGAAATCATCGCTGTATCCAGTATTGTGAGGCTTTTATCCTATCTTTTCTTAGAATAGCTTTGTTGTTTTATGTCTTCTTACTTTTACATCCTCGATCTATTTTGAGTTAATTTCTGTATGTGGTGTTAGGTAAGAGTCCAGCTTCATTCCCTGGCATGGGGACATCCAGTTTCCCAGCATCGTTTGTTGAAAACACTGTTCTTTTTCCATTGAATGGTCTTGGCTCCCTTGTTAAAAATCATGTGGCCAGGGCACCTGGGTGGCTCAGTCAGTTGGGCATCCGACTTCGGCTCAGGTCATGATCTCACGGTTCGTGGGTTCAAGCCCCACATCGGGCTCTGTGCTGACTGACAGCTCAGAGCCTGGAGCCTGTCTTCTGATTCTGTATCTCCCTCTCTCTCTGACCCTCCCCTGCTCACGCTGTCTCTGTCTCTCTCTCAAAAATAAATAAAACATTAAAAAAATTAAAAACAAAATCATGTGGCCATATATGTGAACGTTTGCTTCTGTTCTCTTGGTCCATATGTCTGTCTTTAATGCACACACTTATTTTTTGAAATAGAAATGTGCTCATACTATACACTGGTGTTTAAAAAATATTCACATGTTGTCTGCACCCCTCCACGTCAGTAAGTACAGACATGCCATGTTCAAATGGAGCCCTTGCCTTCTGCTTTATGTGCTTCCATCGCTTATGTAAAGTATCTCTGTCGTGGACATTTAGGACACTCCCAGTGGTTCGAGTTGTGTGATGGGCAACATACATAATTACCCTGAAATGAGTCGCATTTGAGTTGCTGGATTGGTGCCTGGCGCAGGGCGGCTGCTATAAAGTATTTGCTACATCGATTCTGCTCAAACACCATTATTCTATAATTTCCTTGGGACAAGTTTCCAGGCGTCACATTGCTGAGTTCATGGGTACGTAGCGCCTGCTGTCTCCCCCCACGGCCTGGAGAGCAGCCGCCCTCCGAGATGGCGCTGGGCTGGAAGGGAACCCCACGTGTGTAAGCTGCCTTGCCTCGGGGTGCTGTCCCGGCGGAGTGTGGACCTCGGCCTCCAGAGCCGCAGGCCAGGTCACGCTGGCTGCAGCACCCGCCGGCTCTGTGATCCTGGGCAAGCTGCCCAGTGTCCTCACCTGTGCCCCGAGAGGTGAGGACCGTTAGCCACAGGGCTTTCGTGACTGAAACGAGTTAGCGTCTATGCGGAGCTCGGGAGAGTGTCAGTCAGCACAGTGTTCTGACCGTTTCGAAGGCACAGCGACAGTCTTAGCCAGAACAGCTCGGTAATTTGTTCTAATTTATTGGTTACCCAGGTGTAGACAAGCACCGGATAACCCACTTTATCATTGTCCAGATGCAGGTGACTGAAGAGGGTATTTACTCTGTGGGTTCCTGGCAGAACGATGCTCTCTGGGTCTAGGAGGGGCTGAAATTGGACGTTTGGGTCCAAGTTGAAGAGGTGGGGCGGAAGGGGAGGGCGGGTGCAGGGCTGGGGGGGGCAGAGGGGCAAGTAGGGCCCTCACAGGCCTTAACTCGGGGGACCCCGGGCCGGGAGCCTCGTCCCTCACCCCCTCCTGGCTCTAGACCCCAGTGCAGCCACAGCTAGCGCCCCGGGCAGGGCCGTGAGGTGCCGGGGCCCCTGCGCCCTTGTTTCCCTGATCGGGGCAGACGGGCTGCTCTGAGGTGCCCCCCAGCTCCAGCCCCACCGATCGCACTCGGCTCCTCTGGAGGCTTGTTGTGGGATCTGGCTGGTTCCGGCAAGGAGAGCCCGTGCGCTCCACGGTCGCTCGGCCAGCGCTGGTCTCGTCTGTCGAATCCGTTTCTACATTTTCATTCTCCGAGTTTACTGGATGCGCCTCCCTTCTGGCACCTCACGGTTGAAAATAAAGCCTCCCCTTTGGACTGGAAGTTCCTTCACTTCCTGGACCTTGTAGCTACATAAACCCAGAGGGGGCTTTCTAAGGAAAAGGGGCCTGCGACGCTCTCAGCGGACACCCTGGGAAAGCTCTGCGGGCGGGACTCAGCCCTGCCCGAGCTCCTCACTTGTTTCCCGGAGGATGGCCGGCGGCCCCGACCCCTCCCGGTGTGTGTAGGGAAGAAAGCGTCAGGCCCCCTCCCCCACCCAGGAGCCGTCCATGCGGCCTGGGGCCCGGCGCGATGCTGGGCGTTCCTGAGGAAGCCTGTCCGGTGAGAGCAGAGGGACCGGCTGCCGGCATCTGCTTGGAAACGCCGCGGAGAAGGTCCCTCCCCCTGGATGCAGGCACGGCTGGTAAATTCCAACTGAAAAATAAAAGCCGAGCTCTGCTGAGTCATAGAGCCCTGGGAGCCGAGCGCCCGCGCGGGCCGGAGCCTCCGGGAGCCGGAAGGAGGCAGCGCAGGTGAGCCGGGGCCACAGTCCCAGGCGGGAGGGGTTTCTGGAATGCGGCAAGCCTCTGCCCGCCGGGCCTTGGGGTCTTCCTGCTTATTACACTTGAATTCGCTTCTGTATTAGCATGCAGACGTCCGGGGCCCGAAGTTACCGGGGTGGAGACGTCATCTAGGTGTGCAGGGGCCGTCGGGTCAGGGCACCGCTGCCTGAGACGCCCGCCCCTGAGTGGTCCCTGTGTGGCGCCGTGGGCACGGGGAGGCCGGGCCTGCGTCCCCCTGGGCCCTGGGCCTCCCGTCTCACAGTCAAGGCTGGAGCGTGTGTACGTGGCGGCCGTGGGTGCGGGGAGAGCGCCGGGCCGGGGCCCCAGCGGCTGCGGGCGTGGTGCGTGCCCCGCCGGCCCCTCGTCCCTGATGGGGAGGGGTGTGGGGGTGATGGGGGCACCCTTTGGGCCAGGTTTTCTTCCGTGGCTCACGTCCCCATCGCCCGTCTGCCCCTGGCTGGGCGGTGTCTTCTCTGTGAAACTAGCTCAGGACTCACACGTGTCCACGACACTACGTCATACGCAAGGAACTCGTGTTTTGGGGAAACAATAGCTTATTAACTCGTTTACAACACTGGTCCTCGCCACGCCTCAGTTTCTCCGGTTGTTCAGGGAAAATCGGTGGTGGACAGGGCTGCATGGAGGAAGTGGCGTCGCAGGCGATCTGGCAGTAAATGAGCCGCTTGCTGCAGGCGAGGTGGGACCTGCGCCGACGCAGGGGAGTGTGCTGGCGTCCTGGACGCGCCGCCGCCCCCGGCTGCTGCTGTGGGCTCCGGGGGCGGGACGGCCCGGGACAGCCAGGGAAAGGTCTCCTTCGTTCAAAACCAGGACCAGAGTCATACATCTGCGAACATTCTCTGCTGCGCCGAGCCGTCAGGCAGGTCGGTAGCGGCTGGTGGAGCGGAGACACAGGCCAGGGCACGACCTCACTCGTGCGCCCCATTTGGACGGTCATCTCTGTCTGAGGCTCTCGGGGATTTTGGGAAGTCCTGTTGGTGATGGCTCATTCCCTCTTCAGGCCGAGGATGTGGGGCGGGGCTGGCACATCTGTATTGGATTTTCTTCTTCTCTGAGATTCCGAGATGATCTGCGGGTGCCCCCTCCTTCAGCTGACCGGGCTCAGGGCGCTGGCAGTTCCCAAGGCCACGTGCATGCCCGAGGGGGCCGGCTGCACACAGGTCCCTCCTGCAACACGCACACAGCTGGGTGCCGCACCCGCGAACAAGGACCCGGGACGATCCGTCCCCCGCCGTCCAGGGCACACTGCTCTGAGGACCTGCCCGGTTTCCAGACACAAGTGTGGGGACCCCGAAACAGCCTCTGTGGGACGGAGGTCAGAGGTTGGAGAAGCCGACACAGGCCACAGACACGCCGCTGGGTGCTGCTTGTCTGGCACCTATGCAGGCGTCCAGCAGCCTGAGGGGTGCTTGGGAGCCCCCGACGGGAGCCGGCCTTCAGGCCGCACAGGACGTGGCGCCGTGGGCCGTGGTCACCCTGTGGTGCACTCTTGTGGCCTGGACGGCCTCAGGTAATGATATGGGAACAGCTCCAAGCGGGCACAGCGGACAAGGCGGGTCCCAGGAACCGGCATCAGTGACACAGAGGGTTGGGCGCGTGAGGCCAGACCCGGGCCTAGTGGAGGAAGGGACCCTCCTCCGCTGGGGATTCTGTCCTGCTCCCGATGAGGGTTTGACCCAAGACGAGGCCGTGAGTGTTCAAGACCAGAGACCCACAGACACACACAGTGACTCCAAGGTCAGAGCCACGGCCGCCGGAGATGCCTGCCACCAGGCGAGGGGCCGTGCCCGGGCCCAGGTCGGGGTGACTGGGATCCCAGCGGGCAAACTCAGAGAAGAGAAGGCTCCTCCCCGGACAGGCCCTGGGCGCAGAGGCGGGTCTCGGTGCCCAGCCTCCCTGCACACGGTCGGCACCATCCCCTCCCGCTCCTCCCCTCCCAGTCAGCTGTGCCGGCAGGGGTGCGGTGGGAGAGGCCTCGTTTTACTCGAGTCCCTGACCACTGCCGATGCTAACAGCCTTCCACGTGCGCACTTGCCGTCTGTACACTTGCGTTGGTGACGGGTCTTTCAGATCTTTTTTTAATTTTTAAATGGGGTTGTCTTTTTATTACGGAATTTTGAGAGTTTTAAATATCTACATACCTCTATATTCTGGATACAAGTCCTTTATCGGATGTGTGTTTTGTAAATATGTTTTCTCAATCTGTGGCTTGTCTTTTCATTTTCTTAACGGTGTCTTTCAGAGAAAAGAAATTTAAGTTTTGGGGGTGGGTTTCTTTCTTTCTTTCTTTTTTAATGTTTTTATTTTATTTTATTTCGGGAGACAGAGCAGTGGCGGGGGGTGGGGGGACGGAGAGGCAGAGAGAGGGTCCCGAGCAAGCTCCTTGCTGTTAGTATGAAGCCCAGTGCAGGGCTCAATTCCATGAACTGTGAGATCATGACCTGAGCTGAAATCAAGAATCAGACTCTTAACCGACTGAGTCACCCAGGGGCCCCTCTTTCCTTTCTTTTAAGATTTTATTACTTTTAAGTAATTTCTCTACCCAGCGTGGGGCTCAGACTCACTCGAGTCACTTGCTCCGCTGACTGAGCCAGCCAGGCATCCCCAAATTTAAAATTTTTATAAAGTCCAGTTTGTCAATATTTTCTTAATTTTTATAAATCTTTATTTACTTTTGAGAGAAAGACAGAGTGCAAGCAGGGGAGGAGCAGAGAGAGAGAAGGAGACACAGAATCTGAATCAGGCTCCAGGCTCTGAGCTGTCAGCACCAAGGGGCTTGAACCCGTGAACCCTGAGATCATGACCTGAGCCAAAGTCAGACGCTTAACCGACTGAGCTGCCCGGTGCCCCCGGTCGGTATTTTCTTGTACGGTTTTTGCTTTTTTGTCTGAAGATCGTGACACTTGGATGTATGTTTTCACTTAGTGGTTTTATAACCTAACAGTTCCACGATCCCTTCCTATTTCATTTCTGACTGTTATGTGAGGTATGGGCTGAGCTGTGGGTGTTTTGGGGCTTTTTCGTGTGTTTGGGCATAAAGATGTTGTAGTATTCCAGCAAGGTTTCTTCAAAAGACCATATTTTCTCCAGTGAGTTTTCTTGGATCCTTCGTTATACCTCAGTTGGCCAGATTCTATGTGGTCCGCTCTTCCGTTCTGTTCCGCTGACCGGTGTTACTTGTGATGACCATAGCTTTACAGTGAGCTGGAGTCTGGGAGTGATTTCCATCTCCAAATGTGTCATTTTTCAAAATTGCTTAATGTAGACAGTTTACTCTTTCCATAACCATTTCAGAAACAGCTTGTCAGTTTATACAAAAAAGCCCTGTTAGGATTGTGATTGGGATTGTGTTTAATCTAAGTGTCAGTTTGGGGAAAGTTAACATAATAACAATGTTGAGTTGTGTGATCCATGAACACTGTATAGCTCTCTGTTTATTGAGTCTTTAATTTTCTCTCACTATCTGGAGGCTGCAAGGTACAAATATTGTAAGTATTTTGTTAGGTTTATTCCTGGGTGCTGTTTATTCCTATTTTTGTGCCATTGTAAAAAATATTGTTTTGTGATAAAATAACTTGTTCGTATGAAGAAATATAACTGATAAATATAGTTGATTTTTCTCTTTGACCTTATTCTGTTAACTTGCTAAACTCATGTGTTCTAGGTACATTCTCTGGGATTTTCTACGTAGATGATCAGGTCACACGTGAGCAAAAATGATTTCCTTACTTCTGTTTCGTGTGCCTTTAGATCTTTTCCTAGTTCGCTGTTGGATGGACGTGGTGAGCAATGCACACAGGTGTCTTGCCTTGTTCTGCGTCTTAGGGGAAAGCGGTGAGTCCTTCACGATGAACATGGCACTTAGCGGCACTGCTCTTTTCCCTGTGCCCTTTGTCAAGTCGAGGAAGCTTCCTTTTATGACTGTGTTGCTACATGTTTTTATTGTGAGTGGATCTTTGAATTTTGTCAAAAGGCTCTTTTGCATCTTTTAAGACGATTACATGTTTTCATTTCAATGTATTAATATGGTGAATTGAAGGGACTCGCTTAAAAAATATTAAACCAATTTTTGCATTCCTTACACATGCCCCATTTGATCCCATTGTATTATTGCTGAGTACAGTGGGATTATTTTTTTTATATATTTATTTTTGTTGAATTTGAGTGGCTATTTTTGTTAGGTATTTCTGCATCCACCTGAATGAGGGACATTCTTTCCTTGTAATGTCTTTGTGTAGTTTGGATATCAGAATAAGGTTGTCCTCATAAGAAAAAAGTTCTGGAAGAGTTGAGTAGAATTGCTGTTCCTTCCTTGAATGTTTGCTACAATTCACCAATGTATACGTCCCTGCCTAGGATTTTCCTTGTTGGAAGATTCTTACTACAAGTTCAATTTCTTTAATGGATAAAAGGTTCAACTCAAGTTATGAGTGAGCTTAGTCTGTGTCTTTCAAGGAATTTATCCATTTCACTTGTAAATCTTTTAGTATCTGTCAGACACATAGTGATGTCCCCTTGTTGATTCTTGATGCTGTAATTTGTCTTTTTTTTTTCAGATCAGTCTTTCCAGAGGTTTATCAATATTATTAATATTTTTAAAACACCAGCTTATAGTTTTATTGATTTCTCCTATTGTTTTTGTTTTCAAGTTTATGAATTTCTATTAACATCTTTTTTTCTATTCTGCGTACCTTACATTTGCTTTTTTTCTTCTTTTTCTGTGTTCTTAAGGTGGCAGCCTTCCTCATTCCCATTCCTTAGTGCTGTCTCTGTGCCACTCTGGTTATGCCCCACAAATTCTGGTAATTGTGCTTTTATTTCCATTCAGTTCCAAATATGTCTCTAATTTATTTTTAGTTTCTTTTTCACCTATGGGTTATTTAAAAGTGTGTTTAAATGTCCAAGTATTTAAATTTTTTCTTGATATCTTTCTATTACTTATTTTTAGTTCA